CGCCTAAGGCCTTCTTTAAGTAGGCTGCTAAGAATATAGCTATAGAGAAAAAGAAAAACGTTATTAATAGTAAATAAGTTCTAAAAGAGCTCTAGCTAAGAATAAAGAAAAACTACGCGTAAGCCTTAGCGCTATAGACTTAGTAAGTTTACTATAATATATCTAAACTAGTACGCTTTTACTAACTTAATCTTTTAACACTAGATATAAGACGTTAAATCTAGAAGCTAGTCTAGATAATATTAAGACGTCTAAAGACTTTATAATAACTATAGTATATAGAATTATAGGTAGATATAGTAATAAAAAGCTAGGCTTATAGACTATAGTCTAGTACTATAAAGATTTTATTACTAGCTAGAGATAAGCTAGAATAATAAAAGAATAGAAAAAGAAGAAGAAGAATAAAGAGAAGAAGATAAAGAAGCTAGTATAGATAATAAGCCTAAACGTAACGCTATCTACCTTAAATATAAGTCTACTATAGCTAGCTAGGTATTTTACGCTATAGATACTAATTATATAGATAGTTTATTAAGTATAAGCTATATAATATTCTTAAGCTACTCTATAAAAAGTAGCTATAGTAATATAGCTTATAAATTTATTTTCTTTACCTAGAAACGTAGTAGTAGAAGAATAATTAGTTTATACTTTTAAAGCTATAGCGTAGAGTTAAGATATAGGCTCTTATTATAGTCTACGTTTTTAGTATCTTAAGAATTAGCAAATATGTAGAATCTATATATTACCTTAAATCTAGTAGAAGCTTACGTTTTTAGATAAGTCTATCTTAATATAGCCTATATAAACTAATAGTAATAAGTTAGAAAATAATCTTTACTATCTTTTATAATAAGTATAGTAAAATAGAATTTACTATATAACTCTAGTAAGACGTAAAGTATATAATATTTACTCTAGATAAAAGGTAAAATTAATTCTTATTACGTACGTATCTAGTACTAATTATAGAATAGACTAGAGTACGCGTTATATAAAAATATTAAAACTTATCTACTATTTTATAATCTAATACTTATAATAGTTACTATATATATAGTAAGAAATATATTTTAAAATTATAAGTTAATAGATAAGATTCTAGTACTAGAACCTCTATAAAATAAGTAAATAATTTAACTCTACTAGAATCTAAGCGTCTAGAACCTACTATTCTTTAAGAGAAGTAATAGAAAGATAGAGACTATAAGTATATTTAGCTAATATCTTTAAGAATAGAGCTTTTATACTAGCTATATTAAACTCTTAATAGTATATAATTTTAGAGTAGAGAGTCTAATTCTTACTAGTATATATATTATTCTATAAAACTCTATATACTTAACTTATACTATATATAGATAGAAATTATTTATAGAATATAAGAATAAAATAGAGTAAATAGAAAGACCTAGTAACGTACTATAATTACTATATAGCTAATAATACTAGAGTAGATAGTTAGATAATCTTCTTCTATAATTAAGAGTATTAAATAGATATTATAGACCTTTTCTATTCTTTACTTATTACTTAAAACTTAGAGCTATAGTAGTTACTACTAGTAGAAAAGTACTATAAGCTTAAGTAAAGTATCTAGTTTAAGAAAATTAAGACAAAACTTTTTTCTTTAGACAACGTACTATTAAAGAATAAACGTAAGAAGTTATAGACTTAGAAATAAAAGCTAATTTTAGAAACGCTTTATAAGTATTAGAAGAAATAACCTATATAACTTATAAGTAAGGTTAATACCTATATAAAAGAATATACTAGTTATTATAGAACTATATTCTAATAAGTATATAAACTTATACTAGTATAAAACTATCTAGTATCTAGCATGTTTATTAAGGCTACTATACATAGTAATAAAGGTAAAACTATTCTCTAAGATCTAATTAAGCTCTATTTATAAGAAGAGAAAGTTATATTCTAACTAGGTCTTAATCTAGATAAATACTACTATCTAAAAATATAAAAGATAAATAGGTATATAACTTATTCTATTACTTATAAAATAGCGTCTAACTAGAGAATTTTCTATAGTAAACTAGCTACTATATAGTAGAAGTATATACTTAGTTACTATTAGAGATAGCTTAAGAAGAGTTATATATTTATAGAGTTTTACTTCTTCTATAGTAAATAGTTTATTAACTATAAGAAATAGAGCGCTTATTACTAAGCCTATTTAAACTAATCTAAAATAACCTCTACTTAGTATAACCTACTAATCTATAGAGAAACGCTTACTACTCTAGAGTTCTACCTAGACTATTTAGGTAATAAGTTACTATACTCTAAAATATAAATATAGTAGTTTCTTAAAATAACTAAGTAGAAAAACTATATCTATAATTAGTATCTAGAAGATTCTAAGTTACTAGCGTATTTTCTACATAAGCTCTATTATAGAGAGTTATTTCTATTACTATAGAATATCTAGTTTTATCTTAAAAATATCTATTATATTAACTTTAGAAGAACTCTTAAAAGGTTAAAATTAGTAGATAAAGAGAGAGCTAGACTAGCTAAACGTATATATACTAGTAGAAGGTAACTATTAAGACTAAAGATAGAAGATATAGAATATAAATTTATTAATAAAAGTAATATATTTTAGAACTAGAAAAAGAGGTTAATATTCTATTCTACTCTAGTTAAAGCTTCTTCTACTAATTTAAAAGATTTCTTACTAACTCTAGAAATTATATTATATTAAAAGAAAAATACGTATAATATACTATTATTCTTATAGTATAGTAAATTAGAGAATAGTCTTAATAACTAGAATTATCTTAGTAATAGAGATAATAATAAAGATTTAGAGTATATTAGTAAGATAAACTATCTATAAGGTAACTACTAATCTTAATAGAAGTTATCTCTAACTAATAAATAGATATATTTCTCTATTTAGAGATAAAAGAAGTTAAAGAGAATAAATAGCTAGTTAGCGTATCTATAAACTTAGAGGCTATACCTATTAAGTATAGAAACGTAGAATTATTATCTAGATCTTAAGAGTAGAAGTACGCTTCTATAGCCTATTACTAGTTTAAGCTAGCACCTTCTACCTAAAAGAATAAAAATAATAAATATAAGGTAGAGTAAATTCTAAAGATCTATATTTATTAGAGAAAGCTCTAGTACTACGTAAAATAGGTTAGGTATAATAATAATCTAGAATAGTATAACGTAGCTAACTTTAAGAATAGTTTATATAAACTCTATAACTTCTATATAGCTAACGCTAACTTCTCTAGATCTCTACTAAGACTAGATTACTAGATAGAGTACTAGAAGAAGAATAAGAATACTATTAATTATCTAGATAATAATAAGCCTTTAAGGTTAAGTACTATAGATAGAACTTTATAACGCGTATTAGTAGTAGTAGACGGCGCTAGAAAGCCTAGTATTTAGAGTAAGAAGTACTCTAGGTAGGTTTCTAATTAAGGCTTTTATAAATTAGAAATTATCTTAGTATTAACTTAAGTTAGAGTTTAATAGAATAGTTTATAAAGAAAGATAATAGCTTATTACTTAGCTTTTTATTCTACTATCTATAGTATACTAACGCTCTATCTCTTCTTAGTACTACTTATAGTACTATTATTTATATCTATAGTACCTACTAAGCTCTAAGTACTTTTATAGTTAGGTTTCTTAGACACTCTCTAGCTAGTACTATAGGCGGTATTAATAGGTTAAGCCTAGAGGCTAAGGTTACTATTCTACTATAAGGTAGATACGTCTTATTCTTAGAACTAAGATTCTCTTTCTAGTTAGTCGCGTTAGCTAATCTAGTTTACTAAGCTAATAGAATATAGGTTTAGTTTTAAACTTATTCTTTCTAATAAAAATACTATAATTACGCCGTAGCTATCTCTTTTACTTAGAAGGCAAGGCTCTATTCGATCTAGCTACATAGTTACTAAGTATAGAGGTAGTAAAGGTAATAATCTAATACGCTATTGCTACAGGCTAACTAAACCTAGAAGAGAGATAGAGAAACTAATTCTTAGAGGCGCGAATGTATTAGCTAGGAGTTTGTATAATAATTCTAGCGTAATTCTCGTATGCCGCCTGTTCTACCGTGCTTTTTGCCGTATTTATTGTTGTGGTGCTTGTTGCTGTGCTTGCTGCTAGCACCCGCCTTTGCGCGGGCAGAGCTCTTTCTAGAACTTCGGCGCTGCTGTCGCGCTTAATGCTCTTAAGCTTATTGTTATGCCTATAGCGTATAGTGTTGTTTGTCGTATTATGCCTTGTAGTTGCTGTGCCTGCTGTATTCATGCGTTGTTGTCGCGCCTGTTGTTATTGTGCCTGCTCTTGTTATACGCATCCTCGTTAAGCCTCGCCGATAATAGGAGTCGCCTCAAGCTTAAACGCTGGTAGTATCAGGGTATCTTGCGAAGTCTTTATTCGAGCGGCCTGGCTGAAACTATTAGCTGGGTCCCGGGTAGAGGTTTTGGAACTTAACTCGCCCTCGGTATTCGTAGACTTTACGCGGAAGCGTGTTTATATAGCATTAAAGTCGCATCGACTCTAGCATTCCATGTTACTGATGCGAATAGTTAGCAGCTTGTAGACGTGCGAGGGCGCGGGAATAGCCTTGGCCGAATCTGTGATGCTCTTCTTAGCACAGGCGCCAGGTTGCGCAAGGCTGGCGGCTGATAAAGATGCCACTGTGGCCGTCTCCGCATACGCTCCGACCGCTAACACCTGTTTATTGTAGTCCAGGCTATAACCTTACACCTCGTACTGCTCGCGCTCTACTACTTATTAGTTCTTACGCTAGAACCCTATGCTTCTCGGCCTGCGCAATGGATGCGTTTCTTGTGGAGAGCTATCTGGTAGCTAATCACATAGCTGTGGCTAAGGCGGTGAGTTAGCCTGTGGCTGGTTGGCAGTGGACCCGACGCGATGTGGCGCTGGTCTCGTTTAGAATAGCTTATCATCGGTTGCTACGTGTTCACAACTCTCCGCACCAACAACGCCAAACCCTCTCATTTCACAGTGTCTTAAAATTACGATATGTGCGACAATGTTTGCGGCCAGTTTGGAGTATGCGGACATCTCGCAGTCGTGTACATAGCACGATGCGCCACAGCACAAGCGAATCAAATCACCTATCCGCCAGATCAACGTTAAGACACTTATGATTGGCAAGAGGACAAAGACGACGAGAAATGTCCCGCTTGCAAAGGAGAAACCCCCCCTGAGACCCCTTAAATCAATAGTAAGTAATCGTACGCGCTCGACTACAGTATAGCAGGAACAAGTTCTAATTCGAGGCTTCTCTCAGCTTAGAAAGCCGTTCCTGCTCCTTTCTACCACCCCAGATATAAGAGGAGCTTGAACGTTTTGCCTTTTCAACCCACTCATTCTTTTGAACGAAGACCCTTAGGCGGTTAGCAGGATACGACTGTAAATGACTTCAAATATCTACCAGTTTTGGCCTTGTCTACTCGCTAAATAGACGTCGTGTGGCAACGCTAACGTCTGCTCCTCCGTCAATGGCCCTTCTACGTTAAAGTCGTAGATGAACCACCGCTTCAAGGGCTGCTCAGAATCGAATTCGCCAGGGATATGAGGGTGGTCATACCCCAATAAGCTTGGTTTATCTCGAATGGGTCTTTTCAGCTGATACAGACTGAAATCATTGCCTAGAGTGTGAAAGCGCTTTTGCTTACAACCAGGAATGTCGGTAACGGAGACGCGAAGTAATACACGACGCGGGTCGGCGGGGATACTCTGACAAGAGGCCATCCTTATGCTTCCCTTTGAATTCCTCTGTTATGTGTGCCTCAAGATCTGTCACGGCTGCTGCTGGACGCCGCCCCGATCTTTCTGAGCTTCAGCCTGGTATGTAGTACTCTCTGACCGCGGCGTAACGGGGAATAGGAAACGGCTGTATGTTCGACGAAGGCAACGTAGTAATTCGCGTCGGCGGCGATGTGGTACACGGCGGCGGACTCGAGGATGGGATGGCCGCAACGAGGTGGACGAGGGGGGCGTGAATACGGTCTATCGCATGCTTCGCATTGCGCAACGCACGCGCTCGGTCGCGGGCTGGTGTCGGATGATTGATTGATTGATTGATTGTGTCCTACTCGGTTTCAGCCGCGATTTCTCCGCAGCTATGCCCGGTTTGGCGGGTTTTTGGCGGGCAGCCGACGCGTCCCGGATCATTGCTAATCCGCTCCGCCCCACTTCATCCTGCAAAACAAGACCAGCTGTCCCCAGAGACCTGCCTTTTCTCCCTCAACCACTATCTAAATATGCTTGGCGCTCCATGCTATCTCTACTTGCTGTTTGCACCTCCTTTTCAGCGTGGTCTTGAGGGGAAAGAGTTTTGGAGGCTCGTCTGCGGTTAGCGCTCTTCTACCATTCTCTCTCCATCCTGTAGCTTCCTTTGCGGCTATGTCTGCTGCTTCGTTGCCTGAGATCCCTTCGTGGGCCGGTACCCAACGAACTCGTACCGGACGTCCTCGGTCCTGGAGGTCCTAGATCCGGCGGGCGATCTCCTCCAGAATGTAGGCTCCTGTCCGTCCTTCGGCCTTGGTGACAGACCATATGGCGGCCTGATTGTCTGTGTAGATGGCGACGTTGCGTCTGCTTCCGTTCCGATCTGCGTACTCCTGTGCTATCTGCAGTGCCAGGCTGATTCCATACAGCTCTGCTGCATATACTGTGGACGTCGTGGACAGCCCAAGATACGCGCTGCGCGTCTGCTGTGTGTACGGGCACACTGCTGCGGCACCAATTCTGCCATCTATTCCGCTTCCGTCTGTATAGATGCTGAGGTCTTGATCCGTCGCAGTCTCCCTGTCGTGTCGCTTCCGCGCCGCAGTCTCCCTGTCGTGTCGCTTCCGCGCTGTCTCGTCATCTTTGTCTATGTACGTCTTTGGCCCCTGTTGCCAGGGGGGTGTGATGAATGGGGGAATTGGTTCCTGCGTTGTGAGGTCCTGTCCCCACTTGTCTCTCATCTCGCTGTAGATTCTCTGCCAGGAGCCTGTATGCTTCTTGCGTTCGGTCATTTGGGTAGCATCCGTGGGCTGGAAACCTACGGGGTTTGCGATAGGTCTGCTGGACAGAAGTCGAGTGATTGTGTCTGCATTGTGTTTCCATATTTGTTGCTCGATGGGGAGGAGAAACGCTTCGATATCGAGTGCGGCCCTTGCCGTGGCTTTGAACGCTCCGCAGATGATTCTTGCTGCTCTTGCCTGGATGCTCTGCAGGATGTCGAGTGCCTTTTTGGTGTATGTGCGCTTCTTTCCATTTTCGTTTGACCATATTGAGCATGCATACATCATCTGGGGCAGTGCTGTTCCCTCATAGATTTTCCTCAGGTCCATGAGGCTAGCACCCCAGTTTGAGTTCCCAAGGCTACTTAGCGCATGTACTGTTTTTGTTGCCTTCCGTCGGACCTCTTCTAAATGTGCTCTCCATGTTAGCTTAGTGTCCATCGTTAGCCCTAGGTATTTGCAGGTTGGCTTTGGTTTGATTTCGCCCCAGATCGTTTGGATTGGGTGGTTTGTGTCAATCTTTTTGCGTGTCCTTGTGTAAGCTGGAACTTGTCTGGGGCGAAGACGGACGCATGCGTGTTGGCCCATTGCTGTGCTTTTTGTAGGGTTCTGCTAAGGATGTCGCACGTTTTTTCTGTCGTTTCTGCCCACGCTAGGATTGCAATGTCGTCTATGTATCCTGTGGGTAGAACGTTGGCATCCTGATTACACATGTCTATGAGGTCGGCATTGTAGAATAGGTAGAGGATGGGCAACAGTGGAGAGCCTTGGGGGATGCCTGTGCTTATTGCGTATTCTGTGGATTGAAATCCACCGATTTTGATATGCGTGTGTCTGTTGCTGAGGAAGCTCGCGACCCATCTGACGGTTCTCTCGTCGATCTTTCTTTTCCGTAAATTGTGCAGCAGGCGTGCATGGGATACATTGTCAAACGCACCCGATACGTCGAGCAGGAGGAGGCTAGCCACCTGGGTCTTCTTTTTGTTCCATGCCTCATATATCTTCCTTGTAACGGCGTGGAGCGCATGCTCCGTTGAGCGCTTCTTTCTTCCTCCTATGTGGGTTAATGGTAGCAATTGGTGTGTCTCTACTAGGTAATTTAGCCGTTGGGCAATTATCGCGTCCATTATTTTGCCCAAAGTGTTGAGTAATGCGATCGGTCGGTAAGCCTTAGGCTTCGTGTAGTTGTCTTTCCCTGGTTTGCGCAGTACCGCTGTGAGCGACCCTCGGAAGTGCGCTGGGCAGTAGCTTAGCTTTAGGCTTTGATTGAAGATTCTTAGCATGTGTGCTGTGAGCTGAGGCATCCCTGCCTGGAGGGCCTTATTCGTGATTCCGTCAGGTCCGGGGGCCTTGAGGGGGGATGCTGCGCGGATGGCGTCTTCTATCTCCTTTTCTGTTATTGGTGGTAGTTCGATTTGGCTGCTGTATTCCGCGTCCCGTATGTCTTCCAGGTTCGCTTCCGGGGGTGTGGGAAAGAAGGTGTCCTTGAATAGCTCTGCTTTGTCGCTTGGCTCCGTGATCTCGCATTGAGTCTCAGGGTGTATCATTGCTGATTCCGTGCACGATTACGCCGTACGTCGGAATCCGTACTGTGGCCCTGTTGCCGATACGGTGGACCCAGTCATCTGCGAATTGCTGTAGTGCTTCTGCTTCGTTGTTGTTGGCTGTCTTTATGCTTAGGTCTCCGCTCTTCAGCTGGTTGGATGAGACGATCTTGGTGTTTGTGATGTTTTCGTTTCCGCTTTGTTCAATAGCTCGCTCTACATGGGCTTTCAAGTTGCGGGAGTTCATTGCCCTTAGGCTCTGTATGGTAAATGAATCTCGGATATTCACGATGACCTCACGTTGTGCTTGTGCTGACGGGCCTTTGGGACTCTGTGTATTATATGTGCCTGCTAGTGTCTGGCATCTCGCTGCCATCGCAGCATAGGTCATCGGTCCGTTTGCCTGATTCTGCAGCCCCCTGGTTTTGATCTCCCTAGTCATTTCCAGGACTGCCTTGCTGGTTTCTGATGCTTCCTTTGCGGCTGCTCTCGCTTCCTCCCCCGTATTGGTATTCTGTTGTGTGGCTGCGATGGACTGTCGTACGGCTTCGGTGCTGCTTTTGAGCTCGTTTTTGATGTCGCTGAGTGTCTGTGCGTTCTCGTCCGCCGTAGCCTTTGCTTCCGTTTGGAGGATTCTTAGAGCGTCGCTTATTGCGTTGAGGTTGGGGGTGTGCTGCACTTTCAGGATGAACGTCACCGTGCCGTGGATGATGGTCTTTACGAGGTCTGCGGGTACGGGCTGGCTGTTGGTGTGTTCGATGCAGTTCAGTGTGTCTTGAAGGTAGGTGCTGAGGCGTGTAGCGTGCTCGTGAATTGGGGTTGGCCACGTTGCCTGTTGAGGCCATTGCATCGCCATGGCGCCGCAGTCGCAGTGGGCTCCTGCGCCTGGGTGCTGGCTGTTCAATTGACGTCTAGGGCAGGTGTTTGCGGTCAGAATTTCGCGTTAATTCCAAAAGTTGAGATTCTCGCTGTTGTCGTGTTTCTGGCGTGTGGGATCGCTGTGTCGAAGCTGGTTTCGCCGCTGGAAGCGCGTTGGCTGACTAAACAAGCAACCAGGCCTTGCCTTATCACTGCTCCCAATCCCAAGTCGGATTAACGATAATTCCGAACGCTGGTGCAACCCGCACAGCCACATATCCTGCAATAAAACACTCGCCGATGCATGACGTGAGACGTGCGGGGTCATCTCGCATTAGCCCGGATCGGTAGTTCGCTGCCGCTGGAAGTACCAATTGGCGGGGCGGCGCTGCATGAAATCGCGCCCCGCAGCGCGCATAAGGCTGATGATGGCTTCCTGGTATTAGAGGGAGGTTGTGAGGGTAGGATAAGGCCGTTCTACAAAAATTCAGAGCGAAAAAGGCTCGAGGTTGGCGCTGTGGGTAGGGAAGCATGTTTTCCCACGACACATAGCGCTGTACAAATCAGGCGCGGAAGCGACGATGCGAACGTAATTTTTGGGCAAAGTGGAACATAGACATTCAGAATTAGCAGCAGCAGATTATTTTCGTAGAATTATAACGATATGCGTCGTGCGCATGAGCTTTCCGGTTGCTAAAAGTCAAAGTACCCCTCATTTGTCTCGCCACACAGTGCGTCTCGCTACGCAGGGATGGACATTAACTTAGGAACTGTCTAGCTAAAACTAAAAGTGCGCTCTATGGTAAGGATAGAATATCTCACCTTGGCCCCGTTGCCCTTATTGCACAGAACACATGGGGTTTAAGGCACTTTAAAGGTAGAGCCTTATAGAGAAAATCATGCTTGTCTTTTCGTTAGTAGAAGACAGCTAACACGTGTAGATAAGGCTTACATTTTTTAATTTATTTAGAGAACTATGCTAGGTAGAATGTAAGAAGTTCTTAATTTTAGTACTATTCTTCTACTTCTCTAGGTTTTAGAGCTATGCTAAATAAGAGTTAAGTAAAAACGTTGTAGACTCTATTAGCTTTATTATAGCGAAGCTAATGCTACGAATATTCTTACGTCTAGTTTAAGAAGTAACATGCCTATTCTAAATAAAAGAATTTCTAATATTAGCTATTTCTTATTAGTATAGTCGCGTAAAGCCTAGTCTAAACTTACTAATTTTTACACTTTCGTCTACCTTAAGAAGAATAGTGCCGTAACTAAGCTTAGCGTAGTATAGGCAAAGCTTATTATAGATAAATAAGAGCTCTATAACTAGCTATCTTTAATTACGTAGAGTTTAGTAGTAAGATAAAGTAATTACTTACCTACTTATAGACTACTATAATCTAAAGAGGCTTAAAAGAATCTTATAGTATAGTAGTAATATATTATAGTAAAATATCTATTTATTTATATATAATTACTAGGCTATTATTATTAAAGTATAAGTCTATAATATTAATAATATAGTTACTTATAAAAGGTCTTATTCTCTACTTTAGACTTTAATTAATACTTACTAACCTTTTAATAGTAATAAAGTCGAGCTTTTTATTAGTATTATATACTATATATACTAGTTCTATCTAGTTAAGAGCTATAAATTCGCGGTAGTTAATTTAAGGTAAAGTCTAACCTTCTAAACTATAGTAGCGTAAAGAGACTAGTTTAACGCTAAGGCCTAGAGTACTCTCTAGAAAGACGGTGTTACGTTTATAGACGTTAGTTACTATAGTTAGTATAGAAGTATAAAAGGCTATATAAGCGTTAGATAGTTATATTTTTAGTAATTATATAGTTTACTTATAAGAAATAAAGAGCTAAGTTTCTTCTCTACTTTCTTTTAGCTCTAGAGAGTAGAGGTGCGGTTTATTCTTCTAGAGAGAGAGAGAGAAGAGAAGGCGTAATTATCTTACTAAGTAGAAAAACGTAGAGTAAGCCGAAGGTAAATAAATATAGAGAGAAAGAAGATAAAGCTATTTATAATATAAGATTAATATATTCTAAGTAGATAGATTCTTATAAAAAGCTTATTAGTAAGTAATTTATAAATTTTCTAGAAGAAAAACTAAGTATTCTATAGATTAGTTAAAATACTACTAGATAAGCTCTAGTATAAAAGCCTTCTAGATAATCTCTAATAGTTTAATAAGAAAAATATTGCGAGGTTACTAGACGTCTTTTAAAAGAAAGGCTATTAGCGTAGAGAATTCGAGAATTACGTACCTATTCTAATCTCTTAATTAGATCTATTTAAAATCTAGCTAAGAGCTAATAATAATCTATAGTAGCTTAATCTTTAATATTCTCTAGTTTTTCTATATAGAAGGTATTACTTAGAAGTAGCCTAATAATTTCTTCTAGAATAAGATAGATAGTAGGTTACTAATCTATATTTTAATAGTTTATAGACTAAGTATATTTATAGATACTATATAAGCTAATATATTTAGATCTTAGTCTATAGATTAAGAATATATTTTAGAAAAATAACTCTAACTATATAGAATACTATAATAGAGATATTTTATAGTAGATTTAAATCTCTACTATAGATAGTAATACTATACAAAGAGATAAATAGCTTACTAAACTATCTAAGAGTAAGTAGAACTAGGTTATATAGCTAAAGGTACTACCTTAAAAGTTCTTAGATAGCCTAGATACTCTAATTCTATTTATAGAACTATAGCTAGCTATTTAAATTAGAACTTTTCTAAGACTCTTAAATCTATATTACTCTAAGGTTTTAGAACTCTTTTCTATCTATTTTACCTATACTAATAACTATAAAGAAGATAACTTACTACTTATAGTAAGTAAAGAATATATTAACCTTAATTATTAGTAAGAGAATTAACAAGGCGCTGCTAATTAATCCTAACACGATTTATCTTCTATAGAGCCTTTGTCTCGCCTTATTCTTAGAAGACTATACGTTTATTTAGAAATATATACGCGATATTATTCTTACTATTTAAGATAAAAGCTATTAGTTAGAGATATTTACCTATATATACTTAATAAGATATAGTATTATCTTTCTATATACTTTTCTTAAAGATATAAAGTATCTTAAACCTTATACTAGAATCTTAAAGAAGCTCTTACTAAGTAGGTATAAAGGCTTACTATTCTAGTATTTTAGAGTATTATACTATTACTAACTAAGTATTAAAATATAGCTTAGTAAGTTTAATTCTAAGAATTAGACTCTTCTATCTAGTTTCTAAGCTTTCTAGCTATCTTATTATTAGCTCTAGCTCTACACTCTTTAACACTTTTCTATAATAAATAAATAGGTACTATAGAAGAATCTTAGTAGTTAAAGCTTATAGAAACCTAGATTATAGTTAGAATAGTAGATAGAGCTCTCTTTACTTACTATAGACTTAAGATACTAGTATATCTATTAACTATACTATAATTATAGAGTAGTAGATATTAGTATAATAGAAAACTATCTATAAAGACTTTAGCCTCTAAAATACTATATAATTAATAAAAAGCTAATATATTAAAAGGCTAGGCTTATATATAGAATTCTTAGTAAGATTATACGTATTAAGAAAACAGCGTCTACTCTAGCTTTAATGTTAGACTATAATAACTATAGGCTAGATATCTTAGATAGATACGAGTAACTACGCATAGAGACTCTTAAAGTAGATAAGAAATACCTTTTTATTAACTATATCTACTCTACTTTATATAATATAACTCTAAGGTAATACCTTATATTATTCGTAATTATATAGAATTTCTTCTATAGCTTTTTTAGTACTACTAAAGATAATCTAGACTAATATTTCTCTTTATATATTCTATGCAGTAGAGGTCTAGAAGTTCTTAATAATATAGAAATATCTTCTATTATACTAGGTTATATTAACCTTATAGCTATAGATAGCTATCTAAGAGTACTAGGTTCTTAGGTCTCTTCTAGTTCTCTAGGTCTACTAGGTTTGCTAGGTTCTTCTAGCTCTCTAGGCTTTTAGAGTTAGTAAGGTTCTCTAGGTTTCTTAGGTTCTTAAGGTTCTTAGAGTCTGCTAGGTTCTTAGAGTTAGTAAGGTTCTTACGGTTCTTCTAGTTCTCTAGGTATTCTAGACTCTTCTAACTTAGTAGGCCTCTTAGGTTATATAGATATAGAGAGTCTACTAGATTAAGAGATTTAGTTAGATCTATAAGACTAATTAGTTAATTAGTAACCTTCGTATATTACTAATAAGCTAGAGGTAGTATAGAGAACTAGAAGTCTAGAGAGACGCCGTAGAATTAGCTAGAGAAGCTATTTAGCAAGCCTACGAGAAGAGTTACGCGGCTTAGTATAATAGAGAGAATAGAATTTTTATAACTCTAGAGGTATACTACTTATAAATATTACTATTAAAAGTTTACTATATTAGTCTATAATATCTATAAAGATAATAGAAACTAAGATTATTCTATAGAGTACTCTACCTCTACCTTTACTAAAGCTATCTATATAAAATACCGCTATTACTCTCTCTATATATTAACCTTAAGGTATATTTAAGTAGAAAAATTAAGATAGACTTATTCTAAAGAAAGATGCTTTATACCTTCTTTTCTAGTAGTAGATAAATATAAAGTTATTATAGTTTAATATACTTTTTTCTATAGAGAAAGGTCTATTCTATATCTATTAGGCTAATTCTAATAATAGCTTATCTATAGTTAATACTCTATAGCTACTATTAAATTCTCTATACCTTATAATAGATTGTAAAAAGTAGCTTAAGTTAACTATACCTACTATAATTCTTAAAGAAGTACGTGCGTAGTAGCTTAATATAGTAATAGTTACGCTATTAAATAATTTTTAAGAATTATTTTACTAGTTTAAAGATTATAAAAAGCTAAATAAAAGTTTACGCTATAAAGAACTATCTAGAATAGGTATAAAGATTATAAAAGTATATACTAAGTCTATTAAAATTTTAATTTAGAAAAATAGTAGTTAGATATACGTATATAATAGAGTTACTTATACTTAAACTACTCTAATAGTAGAAGATTATATAAGTATATATCTAGGCTTTTACTCTTA